GAATGTCTTAATGGTAAGCATTTATGCTGAGTTGTCTCGGCTCCCTCTAAAACAAATATGAATTAAATAGGCTTGGGAATTACCTGTCTCTCTGCAGTGGCCATCATGGGAGCCTGGACTACTAGCTTTGAATGAACACATCGCTTTCAGACAGTTCATTTCAGTGACCTGTCTGCAATGTTCACTATTCAAGCTTTCCTGTAAAACAGTACCGAAGTGATCAATCAGGACCATGGCTGGTCACGTTCTCGTTGGTATTTCCACCACTGCAGCCAACAAGAGAAGATATATACTGCAAGAGAATAAGTGTCTGTGCAGCTGAAACAGGATCTTATCATTGAAAGCATCCAGCTTCAGTACAGCTATTGTTGCTTCAGGACCTCATACGAACTTGTCATTGAAGGTGTTTTTTTGTCTTAGCTACACTTAGATTTTCACCTATATAATTTTAATTCATTTCCGGTCTGAGGACATATTCAAAAAGTTGATCTTAAGACTCCACTGCAATAAAAAGCACACTGTACAAATCAAGCTTTCCTGCAGAAAAGAGTTTTCCAGTGGAGGAAAGTGAGGAGAGTAATGTTGTGATGCTCTCTCTGTTGAATGAATGGCTGAAAGTGTTGTTTCTGGCTGCAGTCTGGAGGGTATTAAAGAAAAGCAGATGTCTGAATAGATCAGTGCTTCTATTTCACAGCCAAAGCAAGTAACTAAATGCTTTAGGAAATCTGCCTTGCTGCCTCTGCTTTTGGAGCTGTAGCACTGCTTGGAATAAGAATATATCTAATAGATATGCAGTATACAAAATGAAGCTTTAGTATGAAAGGAGCTGAATTTGTCCTCTTCAGGGCACCTTAAAACCTTCTGTTTTAATAGAGCAGCTATGTCTCTTACATCGTATTTGTCTCCTGTAAATTGCACTTTGAAAGTCTTGAAACAAAAAAACACATTCGGATGGAAATTTTTCTTTTATTGATCAATTTCTTGTTCCAGACCCTCACTCCCTACCCATACTCCTGATCCCACACGAGCAATTTCACAGTTTCAGGATTTGCTATTTATCTTCTTTTAGTTGGTTTATTTCCTTGTTACACAACCAGAAGTAAGGATGTTTGACAGGAGTATTCAGTGAAATAAAGGCCAAATGTTTGATAATCACTACAGTGTGTAATATTATTCTCAACAATTGAGTATAAATACTGATATAATGGAAAAAAAAATACTTCAATTCTTTCCGCTAAACTGTTTACTTCTAGGCTGGATTTCCATGTGACAGTTTTAAATAGCTATCAAACCAAAGACATGTACCATCTCAGACAAGTAGGAAAGTTACCTCCAAGTCAAACACAAATGCAAACACAGAAAGCAGTTGTTAAATATGTTTATCTAACATTTAGGTCTGTCATGGTGAGATCATCAGAACGGCATCAGAAAACAAAGGAAATTACAAAGAAGGATAATGTAACAAAGCTGAGAAAACTTTCTCCATTCTTCATTTCTCAAAAGCATCTGTTTATAGTTTAAAAATGAAGCTTACAAAGAAGAAAATCTGAAATATTTGTTCTATAGGTACACAAGGTACTATGAAAGTACTCGTTTATAGCATGTTGTATATAAAATACTAGTTTAGAAGGAAAATATGAACCTGATTCTCTAAGTGATCTAAGACATTTTTTGTTTTGAATTAATGGAAAACGAGGAATCATAATCCAACTTCTTCAGACATGTTAGAATGGGTTTAACTTGCTAAATTCTTCACTCATGAGAATAATCTCACAGTAATTGGCAGAAACAACTAACATGAGAGATGACCAGTTAGACAAGATTTGCAGGTCACACCAAAATACAACTCAATGTTGAGAAGACACTGAGGACCTTGAAAATGTGTTGTTAAATTCAATGCAAGGAATGCACACTCTTCATTCTAGAGGAAAAACAAAAGAGGAAAGAAGATTGGCCTTTTTTCTCTGAAGTGTGAGAGAGTTCATTGTATTCATATCTAGTTGGAGTTAAATAGCAAATCTAACCATTTGTCTACAGCTTGTAGACTTGACTGTCACAGTTCAAACAGTGCTCATGAAAAAATGAACAAAAGCAAGATACTTTTTTCTGAATGGTTTCTTCTGACAAGGGAAAAGCCAAAGACTGTCTCAAAGCAAAGGTGATAGCTCCTTCTCAACAACATGACTTGCATAACTTCTGCAAGACTGCATCTTTTTCCCGTCTTTGAACAAGGCTTTTTCAGTGCATCTCTTCTCTCTCTGGAGTTTTAGGTTGCTCTCGCTGTTCTAAGTTGCCTCTGGAGAGGTATCCCAGAGGTATTTGAGTCCCCATCCCTGGATGTGTTTAAGAATAGGGTGGATGAGCTACTTGAGGATATGGTTTAATGGGGATTAGGGATGGTTGGACTCGATGATCTCTAAGGTCTTTTCCAACCTAGAAATCTATGAATCTATGAATCCTTAAAGGAAGAGCATTTTTAAGAGCTTGGGATCTACCAAATCATACATGCATGGGCTGCATTAATTACTGATTTGTTTACAGCTTAGGAATAGGTGTATTGCAAAGGCCTGTGAGAATGAAAAGAAGCACTGGAACAGCTGAGCAGATACGTCTAACGAGTAAGAACACAGAGAGGACTGATCTGCCTGCAAATGTCAGGGAGAAAGCAGGGGGCAGGTGCTAATAATGTGAATGTCATGCTCAGCAAATCTGAGATTGTTCCAGGGCTCTTCAAGCTTGTCTTTTTACTTTACAAACTTCTCACTTCCACTGGTTGGTTGTCTCCCTTTGTCCTCTCTCTTTGGCAGCAAGGCAGCTACCTCTGATGCCAGACTGCACTGTGGTGCCAGAGAGAGCAAGAGAAGAGAGAGCACAGGAGCAAGAGATGTCTTCAGCGGGGACAAGGAAAGGGACAGATAGGAACCTGATATTCCTGCTCGCTAGTACAAAATTCACTCAGGTATTGCTTCTGTTCTTTAGAGAGGCCAGTGATACGTTTTGGGGATTAACAACTCTATCAGCTCTCAAAGATATTTTAAATTATGCATTGGATAGATACCTGTGTGTCATGGCCTTTGCTGGGTTTCCATCACTGTATGTCTGATCACGAAAACCTGAAGAAACAAGTTCAAAGGTAGGTTGCAATTTTGTTTTCATTTCAGAGTAAATCATTCACGTTTCACATTTTCAGAGTAAATTTCACAGAATCACAGAATCACAGAATCGTTAGGGCTGGAAGGGACCTTCAAAGGTCATCTAGTCCAACCCCCCTGCAAGGAACAGGGATATCTCCAACTAGATCAGGTTGCTCAGGGCCTCATCCAACCGGGCCTTGAACGTCTCCAGGGATGGAGCATCCACCACCTCTCTGGGCAACCTGTTCCAGTGTTCTACAACTCTCGTGGTAAAAAATTTTTTCCTAATATCCAACCTGAATCTACCTCCCTCTATTTTAAAACCATTCCCCCTTGTCCTATCACAACTGGCCCTCCTGAACAGCCTCTCCCCATCTTTCCTGTAGGCCCCCTTGAGGTACTGGAAGCCCGCTATAAGGTCACCCCGGAGCCTCCTCTTCTCCAGGCTGAACAGCCCCAACTCTTTCAGCCTGTCCTCATAGGAAAGGTGCTCCAGCCCTCTTATCATCTTCGTGGCCCTCCTCTGGACCCTCTCCAACTGGTCCATGTCCTTCTTATGTTGGGGGCTCCAGAACTGGACGCAATACTCCAAGTGAGGTCTCACGAGGGCAGAGTAGAGGGGGAATTTCATTTCATTTCAGAGTAAATCATTCACAGATTTACTCTCACTTTAACAGATTTGGGTTATTGTTTCATTCAGAATAGATAAGTTTGTTCTTTAATAGATGAAACAATGTCTCAAAATATTTGGCCAAATTAAATGGGATCCAGAAAAATGGACAAAGGAAAAATAAAAATTTAAAAATTTACAAAGTTTCACCTGTAAGTCAATGCTATTCAATGCAAAAAAAAAAAAAAAAAAAAAAATCCTAATTCTGTCATCTGTAGTGCAAACAAGGCTAAGCCATTCTAATTCTCAAGCACAGCTACTGATAGAAAAATGCAATGCATTGCAGTATAATGCATTCTACATGCCAGAAAACTTCTTGCAGCTGGAAAGAGAGCAGCCTTCATGATGGTTAATTACACTGATTTATTTATAATAAATACTGTCATCATTGGAATTTTGGTTTTGAGTAACAAAATGCACGTTAATAAAATCATGGCTCTTTTGAACACACTGATGCTGCTTGGTATCTTAACAGTGATACTTAACAATGTAAATTTCTATTTTACAAAGATGTATGTGGTAAATATTTTCACTATTTTCACTATGGCATTATAAGATTATTTCTCGTTGACATTTTGTATAATCCAAATTGACACAAATTATGGACAAATCGTAGGTTTAATATTTCCTTCACCTTTACGTGGATTGTTTTTCTTAACACCTTAGGTTCAAACACAACAGCATCCCAGTGTAAGAATTATCACCCCCAGTGACATCTCTTTAAGAAACATTCATCATCTCCTGATTTTAAAAAGCTAGTGCTTGAGAATATATCTTTGTTATAGAAAATAAGCATTTAAGAATACAAAAGTCCTTAGTAGTAATGCTACTACTGTTACATTAAAAATCTTATGCATGACAAGCAGTTGATGGTTCCCGATAAATCATTAAGAGCACAGGAATTACAGCAATGAGTTGGACCCACCTAGCTCAGTGCCTCATCTCTGACACTGACTTGTACCATCTGCCTCTGAGGGAGGTTTCAGGAACCTCCTCCTGGTCAGCTGACAGAGATGGAATTATCCACCCTGTAATGTGGACTGCATTACCCCAAAAATATAAAGTACAGCAGAATCAGTGAAGCATGAGATTAATGTCCTCTGTACAATGAACGTAGTGATCACATATTACAATTCTGGTATTCTTGAGATGCGCAGAGTTTCTCATATTATTTTCTGAATCTCCACAAATTTTTGATCAGAACAAAAACTCGTGACAAGAGGTTCCATCAAATACTGTGCCCAAAAAGTTATTTACTCAGTTTCCAATGTTCCACTATTTTTATTTATTAAGCAGACCCATTCTTTCCTACTATAAGGTAGAGGAGAATTCCCACACTGCCACCTCTGGAGTCTTCCGTTATTTTACATGCTTTTGTCATACCCTTTACATTTGTTAAAATAAAAATATGAATTAGGAAAATGCATCCAGACTACAAGAATCACAACACTGACTGTTGGATCCAACTGACTGTTGGATCAATTTAATTGATCCACCTTGAGTGGGCTTGTTATGAGTTTTTATGTGGAAAAGAAACCTGAACTAACATCATGCAAGTGCTTGCACAGAGAACGATATTTTGACTACAAATTCAAGCCCCCTCCTTTTTAGTATCAGGCTTCCAGATCTGAAGCTATAGTTAACGGACGGGTATTTTTAGACAACAGAGAAAACCTGCCCTAGGAATCGCTGCATTTACGGTGAACTGGGAGAGGAGGGTGGGTGGGTGGGTTTGCGGTGATGTTTTTGCAATGCCCAGATTGAGCCTTCTCTGTTTCGACTCCTTTTAGACTTTTCAGTTCTAGACTAGTCAAATCACTCCTGTACTCTTCATCATAAACCCCACAGTCTTAGTTCACTAACTTTTACAACACCTTACTTTCAGGGCTTGGAGATTTTGGAATATTCCGACTCCCTGAGCATTATCTGAGTGTACCTCAAATCATAATATCCTCCCTGTACTTCTGCAGTGGAGGGAAGTGCTACTGTCCCATTTGTAAATGTGGAGAATTAACAGTAGAGCTGTACTGCAAGCACTACAATGACAGCACTATGTGCCTACTTGCCAAGAATAATTTTTAACGAGTTACCTCATGTACCATCAGTAAGGTAAATACAGGTGTGGCATGTAGAACTTGGCACAGGATGGAAAATTCACCCAGGAAGCAGAGAAAACAGACAGCCACACAAGTGGCCCTTGCAGTAGCTAATTAAAAGCCAGTTGAGGTACCTGAATCCATTATCTGTAACGGAAGCTGAGCATATCTAGCTCACATCCACATTCAGTCAGGTGAATCCCACCTTGGCTTCACAATGAAAACACAGTTCACGTGAGACGGTCTCTTCTATACAGTCAAGATCTAGTTCTTCTCTTGTTATCATTCACACTTACCACAGTGGATATCACAGATCTGCAGCGGAACTGAATAATCTACATCTGTCCTCCAGCCCTTTTAAAAGAAAGGAATTGAGTCTTATTCCCCTTTCAGCAGAACTATTTCTAAACACTTGTGTTGACAAAATGAGATTGCTTTATTAGTTTACTCAAGTGACTGCATTTTTTAATCTGCTTTTAAATAAATGCATATGGAGACTGCTGGTCTAGTGTATATTTAGTGAGTTGCAATCACTTCTCGGTTTCTAAATGATAAAACTAATCAGATTTGGGGGGGGGAGGAGGAGGAACTTTATTATGATAGACAATGTCTTATTTACAAAGTAAACGATTTATGCAGGAAAATATCAATTTTACAACCAAATCTGATTTTCACTAAGGAAAGAAGAACAGCTCTCATTACCCAGAAGGCTCTTGCCAATCTCACTTTCATCCTGGCCCTTTCTTCCTAGGAGCAGAAAGTGAAGCTGACAAGGGCCTTCTAAGACAGCTGATGGAGCCTCGCAGCTCCGTCTGTCCATCTCTCTTGTCCAGGTGTCTGCTGAGAACATTAACTCCAGAGAGGAATAAACCTATCCATCAGCTTCATGCTCATTTTCTATTAATGTTGTCTTAATAAAGTTCAGCTACAGAAATAGTGTGCGAAAATGTCAGAAATAATTTGCTCAGCTCTGCTTTCAGGAGTGTTAATTCTAGCATACTATGCACTTACTGTGCTGTTTGCTATATGCCTAACCTTTTCCAGCTGATGCCAATTTTTGAAAAATTCATCTATGATTTACTTAGATCTTTTGATACCCTGGAACTTTTTATTACAAAGGAATGTAAAAAGATAGGATTAGCGATTTCCTGATGATTCCTTTATCTGCCACTGACAAAGGAGCAAGATCATGGAGAGCAACTTCTCTGTTAATTAATGTCATCTCAACAAGAGGTGGTGGCAGCACATCAAGCTATAAATAATGCTCTTTGCCAACTCTGTTCACACAGTAATCAGATTTGGCTGGAAGGAGAAAGCAGCAAGAGTGCCTGATGGTTTTCTTGTTTTTTTGATGATTTGCTTATTTTGTAACAGAGTACCTGGCAAAATCAAGACACATACCTGAATGCAAATTGTGGACCCACACATTTCTCGTGACATAGTGATTGACACAGAATCTCCCTAATGAAAAGAAAAAAATGGAAAACTATTGTCTTCTGTACCCTGGAACAATGAGAATGCATTGTGTCTCTCCAGCTCTTTGATTTGTTTGCCAATAATGCTACATGTTCTACTGTGTCAGAAAATTAACAAAGTATATATTAATTATGGAAGGTTATTTATTTTCAGAGATATTCCCAGATCTCAATGACTGTAAGCAGCCAGTGTAGTTTTGCCAAGCACAATCTGGGCAGCACAGGAAGAGGGCTAATGTTCCCACATTTTACGAAGCATGATAAGGCAGGACACCGTCCCCGCCGTGGCTGCTTGCACCATATTAGCAAATGAGCATCTTCACTTCTTTTCCCCAGTGTCCACGGGTTGAAGGAAGGACTCTTTCTTTACAGTTCTTCTGGATTTCCCACCGCATTGTATGCTGAGAACAAGTTCAGCCTTAGGGTAAAATTGTCCTAAATGACTGTTCTGACACTGAACATGTGATTGTTTATGGTTTGTCCTCAAAATAACGTTAGTTACTCCACTAATAGCTATGAATCCTACACCGCTCTCTTTAGGGTGGCAAACTCCTAAAATAATTTAGGGCAAATTTGGTGAATATGTTCTTTCTCAAGAATGACTAACAGGGATTACTAGGTAGAGAATGAACATTGGTTTCTGGGAACACAAAGCTAAGTCTTGATGACAACTTTGTTTATATTGCCCATGGTGATGAGACAGGAACTGTATGTAATTTATGTGGGCTCCAAATCTGTCACAGTAGCGGAGGACGTAACAGCTTTGTACTGGACAGAAGAAAACAGCATTTTTAAATGCATCAGTGCCCTTCATGAAACACTCACTTCAGTACCTCGCTGTGATTTATTGGTGCTCCACCATTACCCTTCTCACTTAGCAATTCAGGGAACCTTTAAAACCAGAAAGTCTAAACCCCACAGTTTTCATGTGAAATAAGAGGGTTGAGGGGAAGTACCACTGTTAGTGTTCACTGAACAACGTGTTTGGCAACTCTTCTACCATACAGATCTCCATCTCTGCCAGTAATACAGCATTTCCGCAGACACCTTGCCCCATCAGGACAGACTCTTGACAGCGCCACCTATGCCCTCTGTGGACTGTGTTGATTAGGATAGCTGCTTTTTCCCGGGCCTTTCCCAATGACTGTTCAGCTCTGGGATCTCCTGCAGGAGCGGTTATTATGTCCCACTTCAGCGTGTCCTCAGCTTGAGCAGCAAAGCTGAGTTGGGAAACTCTGCTTTTAATAGCTGCTCTGTTACGTTCAGCACCAGAGATATAATAAAGACTGATCCATTAATAAGGGATCATAATAGTTATAGTATGTAATAGTTAATATAAATATTATTAAAATAGTTAATAAACTGATCCATTAGAAAAAAAATTCAGTTTTCAATGTCCACCCCTTTGATTTTAGAAGCCCTTATTAATAGCTGCCTGCTTCTCAGCTACCCCCTAGTATGTGTACCGTGAACACTGAAAGCATCAGAGATACTTGAAAAAGTCACAGTTGCAGTATATACCTGCATACCATGACAAAGAAAGAAGTACAGCTGAAATATATCCTAAAAAGAGGACAGGTGTAGAAACTACAGCATGCTTGTGTCTTCTAAAGCATGTTCCCCTACAGCAGAGTGAAGGCAATGGGCACGCTCAGGAGTAACAGTAGAAATCACAACATCTGGATATTTCAACTTTCTCAAAATCCATCATATGACATCTCATGTACCTGGTCAGTGGAGAAGACAATAGGAGCACACATTTAGGGGTGGTCTGCTGACCCAGCAGGACATCTTTCAGCAACATGGTGCTAGTAGCTCCTAGACCTATCCTGCTAGTATTGACTGATCTGAAAACTGATGCTATGGCCACTCGTCTGCACTTTGACCCCACTTTCCAGATGTACCTCTCAGTAGATCACAGGTCAGGCCAACAAGGTAACTCTGGTAGTTAGGGTTGAAGGGCAAGGGCAAGCCATAGTGCTGCACTGAAAATGCATGACATACAGGCTTAGTTGCAAGAGAGGAATGAGGCTCCCACTTCATGACTAGCTGCTGCCTGAAACAGAAATCTCACTCTCCCGTAATCTTTTCCCTCTTTTCCCCGACTTTGCTGGAAGAAGCAGTTGTGTAGTCACGCAGTCAGCTGGCTCAAAAGGCTAATTCAGCTAAAACTTACCTTTTTTGGGTGGTGTTTGTTTTGGCAGCTGTGAGATTTAGAGTGGCTCAAGATCACAACAGATTTATATCTCAAGTCTTACATTTCACAATGTGAGATTTGCCAGGCCAGCTGTATCAGTGACCCATATATGGAACACTAACAACAGTGTTTGCTATATACATAATACAAATACTACACCACAAAAATGATGTTAAAAAAATATTACGATTCCACTTAATAGTCACTTCCTTTAATGTGATTCATTTGACTTCGGGATCTTTATTTATTTTTTGCTTCAGTGTGAGATCAGAATTAGAACTACATGCTTTAAAAATGTTCCAGTAATTGTTCCAATATGTACATGCTTGGGTTTATTAATGCTTTCAAGCTGCATAGTGATAAATGGAATAATAAATGAATGCAGTTAGATATGTTTAAAAGCCTTACAATGTTTAAGAAATCATATATACAAACCACAGAGACTGAATGGTGCATCCCAACAGATTCACATGAGGCCAGCTGCGTCCTGTTGCACACAAACACTGAGAATTGTGCCTTGGTTTGGGATGTGAAGAAAACTTGTATTTGTTCTGCAGCTGCAGCAGTTCTCATTTTCCAAGCTGATATTAGGGGAAAAGACTTGCTTTTAGATGTACAAGCACCATATATTATATTCTATATTGTTAAATCTAAAATAGAAGTATTTTTAATTAGTTAATTGCCATCGAATGACATGCAAGTAATTATTTTGATTCCCGCAAGTTACTTTTTATACTGATAAAAATTTGATCTACTGGGGATACATAGAAGCAACAAGCTGTCAAATCTCATTGCCACCATTTACAAGCTACAGTGATGTGAACACATCTCACTTGCTTACTGAAGAAGGCTCATATCTAGTGACTGATTTAAATATTTTTCACAATTTAATATTACATAATTGAAAAAATATATTTACCTGGAAATTCTCCATGAGCAAATGGACATTTAACCCAAGAGCCTTGCTTGGTCATAAACTGAAAGCAGAGAAATCTGTTAGGACAACTGAATTTTCGGTTTCAATCTGTGGCTATAGGTTCAACTAGAGATGATCAGTGCATTCCAGAAAATTGCAGAAGGTGAATTCACAGCTTTCCTGCTTTATGGTATCTTCCAACTCTTGATTTAAATTAGGTTCCTCAATTCTTTAGGTATTTATACACATGCTTATTTTACAGAAACATGTAGTTCTACTGACTTAAAAGTAGTCTAAAAGAAAACAATAATATGCCCACATTAACCTTATGTGGCATTTTTTTTCTCAACTAGAATAATAAAAGGTACTTCAGTAAGTGTAGTGTATTGATCATTTTTATTATCAAATCTTTAATATGGAAAAATTCATACATTAAGGTCAGTGCATGCTTCAGAGTTTGTGTTGTCCTAAAACAGTTTTCCCTGCTCTTCTTAAGCAGAGAAAACAGAGGGCACAATCTGACCCATGTTCTAGCTATAGTTGCTGTTGCACTTCCAAAGAACCTCCTTTTAGTCTATTCTTTCATATTTCCTTCATTCTTACTTCACATTCGTCAGAGCTATGAAACAAAATATTGATCCTAAAGAACATTAGTTACTCATTTTTTTTAGAGCTGACAGAAAGAAGGCAGTTAATAGGTGTTTTACAAAGAAATGCTTTTACCTTCATGCAAAGTCTCGGGTGAGTGTCCACACGAGAATATTTAACCTGCTTGAAAAGAAACCACTCAGCATTAGCTAGTTTCATTAACTAGTTTCACAAAATTAATTACCCAAAATTTTCATGGTTTGATCACTGAGAAAGGAACAGGTTTGTTTACTTTCTAAACTTCTTCGGAGATTAATCACATAAAATAGTAAGAACAGAAACAAATGCTACTTTGGATTACTGAATAATTTGGTGCTTCTTATCTGTAACATGTAGCATTCTTTACATTTAGTCTGACTCCTTAGAGCTAAATGAACTGATTCTACAGTGATTCGTGTGCAAAACTCTGATTACACAGTCGTCTTGTTTCAGTCCCTTATTTACCATTCATCAACGACTCTGCAGAATATTTAAAATACACCCAAAAGTGTTGTTCCACCTTTAGTTCAGAAATTTTTCTGTTTTCCATATCCCTATTGCAGAAAAGACTTGAAAGTCGACTGAATTTTAAACATCCATTTAAGTGACCTACAAAACATTGCTTTCTTGATTATCAACTGTTTACCAGCCAAGGGCTTCACCATAAAAATCCTTGGTTCATATAAACAATTACTACCCATGTAAGTGATCTTACTTAACACCGTTGCTCAAGTGACTGAGCAAAATGGACCCTACACGTAACACACGGCATGGTGACCAAAGTAACATCTCTTTTCTGTAACTTTTTTGAGAAGATAATGGATGTCCTTGGGTGTGTCTACAATAGGGTCACAGAAGATGGTTCTGTAAGAGACCGCTCAGATATGGAGACAGCATTGTCATCGACAAAGCCTCACCCTAATTAGAGAGAAGAGTTATGTAGCTTTTGGGCCCAAGTTGGTACATGTGCATCCTATTAGAGTGGGCGGCATTGTGTGGATTTACTGGGGGAGCTGGCACTAAGTGAGGAATCTCTGCAGTAGTCTCCAGCACACTATAGAGATGTTCTTCAGGGTTACAGTACAAGAAATAGACCAATTTTAGTATCAAATCTTTTAGGATGAATTAGAAAAAAGGAAAAATTCATCCTGTTCATGAATATTAATAAATATAGGAAAACATTTATCATCTATAATGAACTAATCTAGGATTGTGTTCTGGGTAATAGATATGACCGTTACCAGCCAAACCTCATTTTAGGTTTCTTTCTCTTTTTTTCTTTCTTTTTTTGTTTTTCTTTCCTGCAAGCAATGAATTGTGCTTGTTGTCAGCAGCTGATGAATCCCATAGGGAACACTCACATGCATGAAATTAAATATATTTAGTTTTGCAAGATCAAAGATTTGTTGAAACTGAAACAAATAGTGAATCTGAACCATCACTAAACATTTGGCCAGGAATTCCTAATCAAAAAAGCATTGAACATTCTTGAGCCAGGCCCTGCCAAATCATGTTATCAGACCAATACTCATAAAGTTTCAAAAATTAAGAATTTTTATTTTATTTTATTTGCCTCTTTAGCTGTTACCTCAAGTTTACTGGCTTCTCTCCACAATGAGGAAAGCCTGAAACCTACTTTTCGAGACAAAAGCCAGAGTTCTAACCAATGCATTCAGCAACGTGAGACTTCAGATTGAAGTATTAAGGAGTTGAAGATACATGTAATGAAAAGCCTTTTCGACTTTAGAACATAAGTGCTGGAAGAACTGAGAAACTCAGTATTTCAACATTCACAATTTCAATACATTGGAATAGGTTGAGGAAGGCACTTCAAAGAGATCTTAATAAAGTACAAAACAATTGTGCCCTACCAAAGTACCATTATATTTCCATTAAGATTTAAAGAGATTTAGCTTCATCTCACTCACATTTTAGGTGTCTAAATGTTAAATATCCAAATCTGATCTAATCGCAATGGACTCCTGTGATAATCAGTGAAAAGAAAGAGGTATCTTCAGAGAGAAATCCCTCCAACCTTTCTTATATGCCTATCTCCAGATGAGCTGTCCTCTCAATATGTCTGTTTCACTTACATTAAAAGGAATCTGACATAAATAGCGTAGACTTAAACACCTATCTTTTAGACAGCAAAATCAAGGCAGATGAGTCATGCCTTTGCTACAAATGAAAAGCAGATCCTATTTACTCCAAAGAATTCAGCAAACATTACTAGCTTCACAGTCATCTCCACTTTTTATTTCTTAATAGTGAGTCAGGGAGCATTTTGAATAAATCGTGTGGTTAGTGTGCAAGAACAGACTGCGATTATGAGTAGTTTTAAGTATCAGAGAAGGAGAGAGGGGTTTGCGACTGCTCTTATTCCAAAATCTAGCTCTTCACATTATGTACGGCTTTAGTGATGGCCTTCAATCTCACAGTTTGAATAAATCTGCATAGTTCTTACTTTCTCAGCAGAATTTTTGGAAGAGTTTTGTATATCTTCACAGTGGTGGTTAGACTTCATTAACCTGCATAGGTTAACCGTGACAAGCACAGGACAGGCCGGCTCCCAAGCAAGGGTTTGTGTCGCTGGGTTATAAACAATGTTATCCCATAGCTCCTTCGTATCTGTGCACAAAGAGCGGAAACATTATTCAAGATGTCTAAAGTGAATCAAAATTGTTCATAAATATGGTACCTATACATGTGCTTAAAACCAAAAGCATTGCTTTTTCATTTCCTTGCCATTTTCACCAAACAGAGCTGCAACGTTTCACACTGTAGCAGTGTAAAACTTGAAATCATCCCACCAAAGTGTTGGTATTTACCAGAGGTACGCAACCTGAGAGCTTAGTTTTACCAGTCTCCCACTAGGGTGACAGATTGGCGTCACCAGGGCTCCTAAGTAGGCTGCACAAGCTCCTGGAAGTGCATTCTCTGCCCATCAGTCACAGGGAGAGTGTAACGCAAGTAAATTCCTAACCAAAGACCTTCAGTTAACTGTGTATGGTAAACTGGAACGAATCCATACATTAGTGACTAGAGATCATGGTATTGGACATTCAGATTCTGCTTGTCTTGTGTAGGACTTACATGCACACGGCATACATGTAAGAAGATAAATTCAAGCCTTTAGCTGAATATCAAGAACTCAGCAGTAAAAAAAAAGCTATGCAAGTAATTCAGAAAAAATATTTTTTCTACAGCATTTATATAAAACTTTTTTCTATGTATACTGGGTATATTGTAATTTCAGAGCTAGTCAACATATATTTGGGGATATCTTAAATAGGCACTATTATAAAATAAAAGCTGTCTTATTTACTTGATTGGTTACTTTGTACTGGCTTTCTTTTCCATTTAGCTCCATGTGGACGAGAGAATCTCCAGCATGAAATTCAAACTGATATTTCAGTTCATACTTCAGGAAGCAATTTGGAAACTTTTACATTTGTCTAATAGCCAGAAGTAGGAGAAAAATATATTTCTGAAACTATTTGTGAAGCAAAAACTTGAAAATTTGGCCAGCGGGATGTTCAAGAGGAGTGAATAAACAATATCTATGACTAGAAAATGTAGCAAAGTGAAGCAAAGTCTACATTTGGACACCAGGTGTCCAAATACAACTCCCATCAAGTGTAACAACAATTCCTGTTGACATCGCTTCTCTCAGAAATGTCCTGAAATAAAATCTTTTGATATTTTCTAAAAGAAACCTTCCGGACTCTTTAATTCTGCCAAGCCTCTTGCTGTCTTAAATTTGTGTCCCAATGCCTATACATCAAAATACTGAAACTTTCTATGAAGTGGAAATTTTTATTATGTTTAAAAAAAACTGCTGGAAATTTGATTCTTTTTAAAAAATGCTGGGTTTAATAACTGGATATGTACTATAAAGCTAATGTTTAGAGAATGTTTAACCTGACTGCAAAGTCCTAGGTCCCTACAGTTCTGACAGTTGACACAGCTACGTATTGAATGTTATAGGAGTCTGTAGTAATGCAGATATAATGTAAGTGTAATCCTAATATTTAAGAGAATAGCACCACAATTAAGACTTCTCTGGTTTGCTTCCAGGCCTACTCATTCACTTATCACCTGAGTTGCCTTCTGTCTTACTCCTTTGTGGCATCTACTTACTTACATCATAATAAAGATGCTCATTCATCTTCAGTATCATATAATTACATTGTTTAGTAACAAATAGACATTCTTTTTTCCTTTTTTTCATCTTTTAGTTACACTAACCCAAACCAGTTATTACATAGAGGAGCTTCTTTCTGATGCAACAACTGATAACAACCATTAATTACCTCATGCCACAGAATTAAGTCAAAATCCCAGCTTTATTACATCAGTGATAAATGAGCCAAAAAAAAAAAGAACCAATCTACTTTAGATATTCCAGAAAACAGAGTTGTCAGTTAGGAAAAAGAAAGATTTAAAAAGAAAACAATGTGGCTCAAAAGTTGGAACTCCTTGTATACTTCAATAGCTAGGTGCTAGAGTCTGAAAAATTGCTTGAGATTCCTGGCACAGAGTGGGTTGAGAGTAGCCCTGAAGAGAAGGATTTGGGGGGTTTATAGATGAGAAGCTCAACATGAGCTGGCAGTGCGCTCATGCGGCCCAAAAGGCCAACCGCATCCTGGGATGTACCAAGAGAAGCGTGGTCAGCAAGTCAAGAGAGGTGATTCTCCCCCTCTACTCTGCTCTTGTGAGACCCCACCTCGAATACTGCGTCCAGTTCTGGTGTCCCCACCATAAGAGAGACATAGATTTGTTGGAGCGTGTTCAGAGGAGGGCCACAAAGATGATCCAGGGGCTGGAGCACCTCTGCTACGAGGACAGGTTGCGGGAGCTGAGATTGTTCAGCCTTGAAAAGAGAAGACTTTGGGGGCACCTAATAGCTGCCTTCCAATACCTGAAGGGAACCTACAGGAAGGCTGGGGAGGGACTTTTTACAAGAGTATCCACTGATAGGACAAGGGGAAATGGGTTTAAGTTGAAGGAGAACAGATTTAGATTAGATCTTAGGAAGAAATTCTTCAGCACGATGGTGGTGAGACTTTGGAATAGTTTGCCCAGAGAAGTTGTGGATGCCCCCTCCCTGGAGGTGTTCAAGGCCAGGTTGGACGGAGCCTTGAGTAGCCTGGTCTAGTTGAGAGGCGTTCCTGCCCATGACAGGGAGGTTGGATTAGATGATCTCTGTGGTCCCTTCCAGCCTATGCCATTCTATGATTCTATGATTCTATGATAGTTGACTAAACAAAAAGTATAGCTGTAAAACAGTATTTCCCATATTCACTTCCTTATCAAAGCTGTAAGTTAAGTTTTCCATTGTAATTGTCCATTGGAACTTCCTAAATGGACAGAAATAAGCTTCAAGAGCTTCAGTGTGCCAAAGCACATACTGCCCTTCCTGTGACTACATAAAGCTTTGTAACCTATGCTTTATCTATCCCCATAGGAGATATCCCATGTCTCTGAGATGAGAATGACTGCGGTAGAAGGAGAAGGAAAAGAAGCAGAATACAGAAGGAAGGAAGGAATCATGGGATTCATGAGCCTAGTGTCCTGCACATCCAAAGTGTGACCATTCCACACACAGGAAATAGGTAGAGACAGGAGAAAATCTGGAAGAAAACCACCTGTGCCCCCTGAGACCCAGCCTCAGGCTGAAGGGCTACTAAGAATAGAGGTTAGGACTTCATACTGCAGATGGCCAATAGGCTTTGCTTTGATGACCCTGAAGCCAGATCTGACTACACAACATAGACATAGCTACAGACAGAGCTTGAGTATTCCTGCAAGTGTTCTCTATTGCATAAATAGAGAGAAAAAAAATCCCTTTTCTATTTAGTCAAACTGCACTCCATTGCTACAAAGGAATGGTAGTGTCACAAACACAATATTCTCCCACAGTAAAATAAATCAGAAATGAAGGCTGGGCGTACTAAAGAGGAAATTGCTTCCATTTTAACACAAATGTATCAACCCTGCAAGAATGTGAAAGGATTGCAGTGAATGTCTATGCAGTTTAATGGAGTTTGGATGTGCTGTTATGGGTTGGTGTTCTTATTCTCTCTCATGTTTTGGATTGGTTTTTTTTTAAATCAAATACAAAAATCCCTTAATGGGCTTCTTAGTATAGACTAGGGGAAAAATATTGTTGGACTTAACACAATAAAACACTTTATCGGGCTGTGCTTTTTTCTATCTGCCTGGTAAAAGTTTCACTAAAGACCTATATAATATGAAAATTTCTTTTTCAGCTGGCATCTCAGACCAAACTCTGACTTTGCTAGAACATTTTATGTGAATAATTTCCCATTAAGTATGGGAACTCCCATATACAGTTGACTGTCTTTTTTTTCACTCCCTTTTCCCTCCTTTAAGTTGGGTGTCAGACACTTTCTTCAAATCTCTCCTTGAAGCCCTATTCTCACATCAGCATTTCAAAGCTGACCTCAGTGGCTTTTCTTCCTTCTGGTCAGTTTGCACATAGCTTAAGAAAATGTGGGAAATGACTAGAAAGTTACTTAGTGTTTATATTGGCATAACCTTGGTGAACAATTTAGTCTGAAAGTAATTTATTTTGTCTACCCACAGTATAACAAACCAATATGATGATTTCCTTGAAGTTTTGCAATATACGGTTGTCACCACAGATGAATTTCAAACTGTGACATCTACTGGAGCTGCTGAAAAGCACTCATATAGAGAGCAATCACACAGTACTTGCCATTTTCAAAGGGGCAAAGTTGTATCCTCCTTGCATCTGGAATTGCCAGCCAACCCTACAACCCAAAAAGTGGCCATTAGCTAGAAATTCTCAGATATGTCAGTTCTTAACATTTGAGACAGAATGTGACAGAAAACCTTTCCACCAAAGATAAAGATGCTGTTTATTAGAAAGCTGTAGAAGTAGTTTTTTAAAAGGATGTCTTGCACTAGATATCTATTTTATTGTTCATTATTTGAGGGATTGCAGCTGATGAACTAAGGTGATTCCCTTCTAACACTATACTCCTACTATTTCTGAGTCATATATTTAGCCCAATTTAGTTTAGAAAGTCCTCCAGTTTGATTTTCATTAAGTTTTTTATAGTGTCATTACTTTCTAGGAGTATCAACCCTAACCATTCTATAATTCTGTGATTCTATCAGAAGACATTTAAGAATCATAATATCAGATCTCCTGGCCTTTGTAATGGTAAGGGATGAATCCTTAAAATCTGCGGACTAGCACTTGACCTAATCTGCAAGTATATGTGTGTGGCTGTTACTATACCCTGACTATTTAGATTCATGTGCAAACGTTTCTATTACAGTTCCCATGTGTTTGCTCAGCAATCGTATTATCTATAATCGTAGAATTATCTGCATATATGCTGAGAGGAATAGTATCTTCCCAGTAACATCATACCTTTCAGAGTGGAAAAAAAAAAATCCTAGGCTTGGAAAAGACCTTTGGGTTCAACTCACATATTAAGATATGCAAGTTTAGGTCCCTACAATGCACACATCTGAGTGACTAAAGTGCTCAGATTACACTGGAGTCTACAGTGCTATCCAGCACATCCCAAAATAGCCATTTACATTTGGTCAGTTGAGTAACTGACTGTATTAACTAGATCTCCATGACTATAAATGGAGTTTGGACATCTAATTCACACGTAGATATCTACATCTGGACACCTACATTTAGGTATCTTAATCCACAAGGTAAATCCTACCCCAAAATTCACTGAGAAATTAGGTTCGCATAGTGTCTTTATATCTTTCAAAGATCACTTTCAATTGGTTTGGTGACTTTTTACTGCTTTTTATGAGAGATATTCCAAAATCTCACTTCTCGGATTATCAGAAAAAAAATCTATAGCTATTCTGAATATATTCATGGAATGAAGTTTATCCTCCTTTATTCTTGTGGCAAGAATGGCTTTAGCTTTAAAAATCTGTTCTTTTCCTTATAACTGACCCTTCTGATGTGTATTTAGAAAACAAACATGTTTCCTCTTTACCTGTTTTACCTGCCTAATGAAAACAAGTTATTTGAACCTCCTTTATAAGATAGTCTCTCCATTCCCCAATCACCCTAGATTTTTAATGTGCATCTTCCATTTGAAATAATTTTTCTTGAATATGGATACAAGAATTGCCTACAGTATTTCAAAAAAGGCCCTGCCCATACTTTTCTCTTGGCTTGGAATAATCTAATACACTAGACCTTTGTTCACACTTACATCATGTAAGCATGTTAGTTTAATTATCCTGCAATGAACTATTACACCCGGATCTTTTTTCCTCCACTGTTATTTCTAAATGAGGACTCACATCTTACAGCAAGAATTCTTTTTATTAGAGCAAGTCCATGAACTTGCACTTTGTACAATACACTTCATCCTCCTTTAGTTATTTCATGTACGAAGATCTCCAGTCTCTTCCAATTATCCTGACCCTCTTCCATTTTGATTACACCTCTCAACTGTATTATCAGCAAATCTCATTAACACGTTCCCACCTTTTGTGCCCATGTCACTGATGGAAACATTTATGTAAGAACTGCTCTAAGTGTGGTCTAAATAACCTTCCTACCAGCACAGCCCCATTCAACAGGAGTAGTCGAGTTAGCCCTCCAGCTAGGTATTATCTGCCATACAAATCTTGTTCTCATTCCCAGCTTCCTCAATTTCCCTTTTAGTTTCTCATGCAATACTGTATCAAATGCTATGCTGAAATTCAGTCAGATTACATTTTCTGTCTTTTCATCGCTTATAAAAAATCAGTCAAATTAATCTTACACAATACTTTCCACAAATTAATGTAAATTGTATCCCATTTTCTTCTTATCTCCATGTTTTAATTAGTGCTTCCTAAAAAATCTCTTTTACATTTACATAATCATAAGGTCAGACAAGTCTTAGTAAAAAACTTAGGTCTAAAGTCTTTTTCTACAGATTTTTTCTCCTTTCTTAGCACAAATCCCAGATAAAATTTCTTTAATCAGAAACACAAGTATATACCAAATTCCAGACTGTGTTACCTCAATGCAGAGACAAGGGAGCAGCTGAGAGTATTTCAGAGAAACTGATTTTACAGATTCCTTTCCTTTTACCTGAAATGAAGAAGATGGTTATGAATCCAGTGCAGCAAATGACTTTTAATAAAGATGAACAAAAGCCATTTCTTGTAACTATGACCTCAATGAGCGCTTCCACCTACAAGTCACCCCCAGCAGTTCAGCAAACTGCTTTGAGCTTTAACTCACCACAGCGAATGCTCCCACGTCTTCACAGGTAAACCATTTGTGGCACAGGCGAACGTAATAATCTTGATCTCGAAGGAAGTTGGATACATTCACTGATATAATTTTCCTTGCTTTATCTACATTATAATCAAACTTTCCAGCTGAAAAAGAGAACCCAAGCATGAGATTATCACATCTGTTTCTTTATGACTTTATTATTTTTATTTTTTTATTTCTTTATTAAAGGTACAGAACGTATTTCATAACTTGATGGAGATGAAACTCAATATCTATATATTCTTACCTAGAATGTTTGAATTAATTATTTTTATATCTTGATATTCCTAAAGGTATTCTTATTTTGTGAGATATAATAATTTTCATGAGAATAAATTTCATTATTATTCAGTTTTACATTAGCACTGGCATTACTGAGAGGCCAGGACACCTACTGATTGTACCTCAACATTAGTACTTGTAATTTTATGTAGTTCATGTACAAATACCTGAAATATATACACTAATACTATTACAAAAGCTGATTACCCCAAGGCTGCAATTTCATTACATAGTGAATATGTGCAAGTATGTTAGACAAATATAATACGTAGGGAGATGGTGTGGTTTTTTTATATTCATGGGTATGCCACAATCAGCATAGCAGTTAGGCAAATTAATTTCAATCTATTTATGAAGTTTGCCTATAGACAAAATATAAAACCAGCAATCCAAAGTGCATGATAATGACACAAACTTATTTCCAAAAGTTTAAGTATTAAATAGGTTGTCAATGTCTTTATCTGCTATCTAGCATTTCCAAGCCAATATAAAGAAACACATTTTCCAGGACATTACCTATCAAGTACATGGTAATTATAAGTAGGGGTAGTTGTAAATAATTTTTTTCCCTGCTTATTCAGCTATGAAAACATATCATTGTATAGGTCACCAGAAATATCTCACAGCTTTATGTTGTGTAGAAGATCAGCTCACCTGAACAAGCTGGAATATATTTTCCCACATCACTGTTTCTGCAATCTGCAAAAAAAATAGAAACCAGAGATTTCTTCAGTGCCGTTTTATCCAATAGCTTCCCAACAGGAAATCTATCTCTTATACCCCATTTTAGAGGCAGATTTACATGCACCTCTAGATAAACAGCAAAATAGAAAAGTATCCTTACCACACATAGAGATTATAACACAACTTGCCTTAAGGAGCTATCTCATAGAATCATAGAATGGTTAGGGTTGGAAGGCACCTCAAAGATCATCTAGTTCCAACCCCTCTGACATGGGCAGAGATGCCTTCCCCTAGATCAGATTGCTCAAAGCCTCATCCAACCTAGCCTTGAACACTTACAGGGATGGGGCAGCCACAACTTCTCTGGGCAACCTGTTCCAGTGCTTCACCACCCTCAATGTGAAAAATTTCTTCCTTATATCTAAGCTAAATCTCCCCTCTTTCAGTTTAAATCCATTGTCCTATCACTACACGCCCTTGTCCAAAGTCCCTTTCCATCTTTCCTGTAGGCCCCCTTTAGGTACTGGAAGGCTGCGAGAAGATCACCCTGGACCCTTCTCTTCTCCAGGCTATCAGCCCCAACTCTCTCAGCCTGTCTTCATAGGAGAGGTGCTCCAGCCCTCGGATCATCTTCATGGCCCTCCTCTGGACTCGCTCCAGTAGCTCCATGTCCTTCCTGTGTTGGGGACTCCAGAGCTGAACACAGTATTCCAGGTGGGATCTCACAAGAGCAGAGTAGAGGGGCAGAATCACCTCCCTCAACCTGCTGGCCACGCTTCTTTGGATGCAGCCCAGGATACGATTGGCTTTCTGGGCTGCCAGTGCACATTGCCGGCTCATGTTGAGCTTCTCATCCACCAGCACTCCCAAGTCTTTTTCCTCAGGGCTGCTCTCAATCCATTCTCCACCCAGCCTGTACTTGTGCTTGGGATTTCCCCGACCCACGTGCAGGACCTTGCACTTGGCCTTGTTGAACTTCATGAGGTTCTCACAGGCCCACCTCTCCAGTCTGTCAAGGTCCCTCTGGATGACATCCCTTCCCTCCAGCGTGTCCACAACACCACACAACTTGGTGTCACCTGCAAACTTGCTGAGGATGCACTCGATCCCACTATCCATGTCACCAACAAAGATGTTGGTTGTTGTTGTTGAGTGAGACCTCACTTGGAGTACTGCGTCCAGTTCTGGAGTCCCCAACATAAGAAGGACATGGACCAGTTGGAGAGGGTCCAGAGGAGGGCCACGAAGATGATAAGAGGGCTGGAGCACCTTTCCTATGAGGACAGGCTGAAAGAGTTGGGGCTGTTCAGCCTGGAGAAGAGGAGGCTCCGGGGTGACCTTATAGCGGTCTTCCAGTACCTCAAGGGGGCCTACAGAAAAGATGGGGAGAGGCTGTTCAGGAGGGCCAGTTGTGATAGGACAAGGGGTAATGGTTTTAAAATAGAGGGAGGTAGTTTCAGGTTGGATATTAGGAAAAAATTTTTTACTATGAGAGTGGTAGAACACTGGAACAGGTTGCCCAGAGAGGTGGTGGATGCTCCATCCCTGGAGACGTTCAAGGCCAGGTTGGACAAGGCCCTGAGCAACCTGATCTAGTTGGAGATATCCCTGTTCCTTGCAGGGGGGTTGGACTAGATGACCTTTGAAGGTCCCTTCCAGCCCTAACCATTCTATGATTCTATGATTCTATGTTAAATAGCACTGGTCCCAGTACTGACCCCTGAGGAACACCACTCATCACTGGCCTCCACTTGAACATTGAACTGTTGACCACAGCTCTTTGAGTACGCCCATCCAGCCAATTCCTTATCCACTGAGTGGTCCATCCATCAAAACCATGTCTCACCAGTGTGGGGTTTCTACTGGAAAACCTCATCAGCAGATTAAGGTGGCAATCTAGGATATAATATTGCAATACTTTACCTAGTATGCAACAATTATTTAAGTAAAAATAATTAAAATAATAATAATTTCAGTTATTATTTCCTTGAAAGCTACTCCTGTTGTTTACCAGGCTTAGTCCTCTGTTATAAACAACTGTGTATTTTTGCTATTCTGATTCTACTCTAGGTTTACAAAGAAACACCCGATTTAGCTCCCAGAATTAGAGGCCAAGTTACACTTTCAGAACTAACATCAAATATTTCTATCTCCAAAACTCAAATCTGATTTAAGAACACTAAATCAGCTCATAATGTGCTGCATACTGTTTTCACCTCTCCTTGGTTAACTCAGTATTAAAGCAACACTTTGCTCTCTTTTCCCTAGATAAATATTTCCTATTTTCATTTGTTTACTCACCCTTGTAAAGTGTCTCAAAAATAGGCTTTATTTTATTCTCATGTATCTGTATCATCAGTGAATCAGGACTTACCAGGAAAATGAAAGGCTTTTTAAATACAAAAAGGCTTTACTTCTATGAAAGCGTGAAACAGCCACAATGTGTCTGATACTGTGTGCAAGGGATGGTACTGTACGAAGGGACAAGGGCAAGAGCCACCCACCCACAGACTGGATATGGGAAGGCAGAACAATCCCAGGCACTGGACCCAACAAGGACTCTCATTTCATTTTTGGCACTACCATTTGGTGCACTTGTCTCCACTAGCCACTCTGTATCTTGGTTGGACCCCAGTGCTCAATCTATTTTTATATGCATACAGTAGGCACTTTATCCCAAAAACATGGAAAAATGCTACCTTATCTTATCCAGTTACATGAAAACAGGCAATAGAACAGCTAGCTAATGAAAATAAAAAGAAATTTCTTTAAGCTTTCTTATTAAGCTTTCTTCAATCCCTGAAACCACCTGTTGCCTAACTATGAAGAGAAGCAGAGGGTCCATCTAATCACAGAGAGCACACAGGATTGAATTTGCAGGCAGAGAAAGATCACACACCAATCACAAGAAGGCCGTTTAGAACAAATGCATAATGTAGTTCAATTTTCTGTGTACTTTTAGATATAAACTTTGGTCACTGTTTTTTATAGCAAGTCAGACATTTATATGCACAAAATAAATCATCGAAATGTAGAATGAGATTGGACCCAGCATACAGGATCTCCCATCAGTTAGATCAGTATATCCCAGAATGTGATTTGGATTTGCATTTGGGTTTTGGTTTGGCTTGGGGTTTTTTTTCTCTGAAAAGACGTTTCCTGAAAAACATTTGGTTTAAGATGTTTTCCTACCTTCAACGTAGTATTCCTGACTCAGCTTGACTTCACAGTAATTTGGTACTGTTTTCATGGTCACATAGATGTGTTGTGCTACATTGACTTCAATGCAATTGAATTGCACCTGTACCTGTTTAAAATATTTATAAAATCAAGTTTGTCCGTGACTCCTAGAATACATGAAAATCACTGGTCATCAGAGTTAAGCAAGCAATATTCTTTGTTTAGATTTATTTATATTTACAAGGAACATTCAGCAGTTTCAGATATTGTAGTGTTAAGAATGTAAAGCAAATACCACTTAATGAAATGATTTCAAAGAGTATCATTACTTCTAATCTAGGATGTTACTATTTTCTTCTCTTCCAGAAATCCAAATATCTACAAGCTATCAAATAATCCTAAAAGCATAGAAATACAGGTACCCAATGCTTATCCAACTTTGAAAGCAAAAAGGTCTTTCATACTACCGAAAGTCCCAGTTTGTAGGCATTTTACAAGCACAAACACTTGCAGAATAGGAAAAAAGATCTGTTTAAACATTTAATGGCAATTTCAGCACATTTATTCATTTCAGTAACAGTTTGTGACAGAGAAAGTAATTTAGGAGACAAAAGTTGAGGTCCAATTATAGCAGGTCATTCCCTCACTGATAGCAGTTAACTGTTAAATTCCACATAAATTTTCACGTTGGAAGTACTCCTGTTTTGTACAAGGCATTTGGAGAGTAAAAGACACCTTCTGTCATCACTCTAGTCACTGAACCAAAACTAAGAAAATGTCATTAAATATGTTTGTTGAGTCTTGCCTGTAAACTTACCCTGCTCTAAAAGCTACCAATTGTTCATTGCTGGCCTTATATTCCCTACAGGGACGTTTGATTCATTAAGTCCTACAGAGCGTAAATTGCAAGTGCAGTCTGGGAGAAGAACTTTGTTTCACATGTGCAGTCAATATAACATTTACAAAGCACATGAAGTAACATATTTTGTATGGTATTAATAACAGTTATCCACCACTAATTGAAAGCAAAAATTCATCTCTTTTAAACAGTTGGTCAAAGATGGATTTTTTTTTTTTTTCCCAGTTGCAAATTTTAAAAACAAATACTTCTGGGTCTCGTTTAGTAAAAAATTGTACTCCACTGCTGCAATTATTGCCATGAGTTTAGGACAGATGTGCACAAGCGCTTAGGCACTAGGCTGTCTTCTAGATGTGTAAATTCCATTGGCATGGTTGGACTTGAATAAATCGTACGTATGTACTTGAAATCCCTGTGGCATTATGGTTCCTAACAATTGGAGTTACAAAATCTTCCTCACGATTTGGTGGGCACATAAAGAAAGCTAGCAAGACTGATACAAAAATTATTTGCAGAGGCAGCTTCTCATGCAAAAAGGTAGTTGGAAGAAGAACGAAAATGGTGGAGAATTGAATTTATAGGTTATGAAAGGACATTTTGTTTTGGAGTTTCATTTGACAATGCTGAAGCGTACATTTCGTTGTAGTTTTCCACAAAGTCAATAAGAGAAGAAAATAAGAGATAGAAAATACATTTTTTCCAAAGGTTTATAAACATTTAAATGAAAAACAACCCATAAAAGAAGTCTACCTTCTTTCCATTAAGCATCTTGCTTTTTTTCCTAGCAAATCTCACATTTATGCATTGAGATTGCTGTGTGTCCAGTGAAAAAGAACATATTTCCAGCCCACGGATATTTTCTGAAATGAGTTAGGGATAGATTTCAAAAATGTAATTTGAGCATCTTTAAGAAAAACAAAAAATAAATTAAAATACACCATGTCATAAGTTTTCCTTTGAAGTGAAAGACACATGTATTTTATCTCCGTTTTAAAAAGGGGCGTTATATATACCACATACATGGGGGTAGGAGCAAGGATTTGATACAGTTTGCTACAAATTGAAACTTTAATTATGCAAATACTCATACAAATTTTAAAAATAAACCTATCAACTCTGAGTGAAGCACACCAGGAAATGTCTAAACACACTAATGTAACACACTAAGCACCTGAATGGCAGTGTGTTAGTAAAAACAGACTATGTCCAAGAAGTTTCAGTGCTTACATTTGATTTTAGTGCAGAATTGTAACTTTAGACACATGAGCTGTTTCTCTTCCTGTTGGGGCAGCCGCTCCAGCTCAGTCTGAGTTACCAGGGCAGACAGACTGTGTGTGCGTGCGTGCACGCGTGTCAGAGCAAGAAGGGAAAAAGCAGCAGTATGCTTGGGGCATTAGTAGAGGACAAGTTAAGTTGGAAGTAAAAATTCAGTCGTCTTGAATTCATTATCTCAGTTCTCATTCCCTTGAGCAGGGCCAGGGCTTTATCCTGGTTTGTAGTGAAATGGTTTCACAAAAAAATCTTTCTGATATAATTACATGAAAACAGCTTGGACACAAATATTGCAATATGGAACAAAATTTGGGTGAAAAGCTATAAATAAAAAGTAAACAGAAATTATTCAGTAGCAGATCTGCTTCCTACCGTCCAGACTCAGAGTTCCTTTAACGTTTAAATGAAGAGAGCATGGGCTTCCTTGGACACATTTCATCACTGTTGAGATCTTCATGCTTTTCAGTACCACAGAAGATAAAGATGCAGGAGCATTATGACAGAAGCTGTTAAAAATTCCACCTGCAAATGGAAATACAAAGACAGAGAAACCTCATTGTGCGCAGGATATCTGGGGAGAGAAAGTGCCAAAGGTGAAGCTCCAGCTCTACTGAAATCAGTAGTAAAGTCCCCATTGACTTCAAAAAAGCCAGAACTTTACCTAAGACCTTCAAGTGACCAACACAGCTAGGTGGCTTCACTAGCAATGCAGAGGGGTTGGAAAGAACTATATTACAGATGGGGTTTGATAATAAATTTCCTGGCTTAGGGAAGTGTTAACCCACAAGAGGAAGGAATCACACCACTAACAGTTGAGGCTAGCAGAGCACATCTAGAATAGTGGTTCTAAGTAATCAGATCTGCTACATTGAGGCTAGACTAATAGTTTATTTAGACTTTTTTTCAAAAACATTACCTGTATATTGTGAGCAATCTCATAGGCAGTATTTTAATTTTAGGATTGGCTGATGGTCTCAACTGCTGTTAAAATAGAATTTTCACACAAGAGGGCACCATTGCATTCATAGTCATGGAAAAATCCCTCACACCTACAGGATTTCCTTCTCCTTTAGACCAGAACAGCAAGAGTAGAATAAATATTATCCAGGCTATCTTCAAGGTGTAAACAGTAAGCACAGAACACAACTACTATATGTGATCTTATTTTCCTACGCAAATTTAGGCATCCCAAAGCCTTAGGATATGCATTTGTACAGCAAACTTCTGTAGGCTAATATAAAAGAAAAACATCCTTCAGGCTCCAAATCTCATCAGTTAGCCATATTTTATCTCCTTCTACTTCTCAGACTGCCCCGCAGAGAAATCAGTTATTTATTTATGAATTTATGTTGGTACAGTGGATTTAATCCCCAAATGTCTTTCTTGGGCTTCTCTACCTCGTATGCATTGTTTGTAGTCCCAAAAATTAAAAATTCGAGAGACTGTCAGAACAAATAGCCAGTGAATCAGATTTTTGCCTTGGCTTTGTGGTATACACCTCATTTTAGCTGCAACTACAGCATAGCAATTTCTTTGAAATGTTTCTTACCCTTCTTGCTTTGATACATAGCATGAAAGTTAAAAGACACCCAAGTAAAACCAAGTATTTCACTGCACATTCTCCTTCCCCTGGGGAGAGGCTGGAAGAACAAAAAACATTTGACTCTTACTAGTCATACTGCTGGTCATACTCCTAGGAGGACTTCAACTATTATGAACAGCAGTGCCACGATACTGTGCGTGCCATAAAATACAGGAGAACTCTCTTAATTCAAATCATCAGGAAAAGGCACATCCCTCAATGTCTAGCCGGGAATCGCCGTCAAGCATGGATGCCCATTGACTCACATGGAAGACACATCCACAGTTCTCACAGATGAAAGGTAGGATGTGGAGGAGGAGGAGGAAGGGCAAATCTTATCCTTACTTACCCCTACAATGAAGGAAAGTGCTCTAAATTTAAAGACTGAAAACGTATGAACCTGTACAGGACCTCTTTCTATATTACGAGATCCTCACTTTCGCAGTGTTCAGCTGCCACTGAAGCCCGCTGCCAGGGATCAGATACTGATGATACTGACGTGAGATAGGCTGACGTAAATGTGGTACCTTGGCTTGAATCTGTCAGGCCTTAAGGCGCCCTCACGCTTGGTGTCGGGAGAAGTAACTAAGTCCTGCATAGCACATATCAAAAGTCAGACCAGACAAATGCTTCACACCTGAATCTCCACTCCATTATCCCGGTTTTGTGCCATTAAGCATCTTTTGGAGGCAACAGGATATGCTGACATGAACCAAGCGGAAAAGAATGGAAAAACAAGGACACTTTACCTCAACTGACAGTAGAGTCAATTCTCAATCATTCAAGATAATATTGGCAACGAGAGAAGATAATTTGTGCAAACCAAAGGAAAAACACAGATTATTAAAAATATATAAATTAAGCTTTAAGAGCAGTGGAGCACATTGACTTTTGAAGGATTTATAAACATGCTTCCACAGAGATGAGGCCACCTTAAAAGTGCAGTGCACAGCAGACAAATGTGAACAGCACATTCTGTGTTTCAAGAATGGGTGGTGTAATAATCCTGAAGGTATCTCGGGATGGAGATTTATCGTACAAGTTTCAATCAATCCACTCACAGTTAATTGAGAGGTTATTATATTGCAGAACTATCTGATAATTATTACTAATAATGTGATAAGTCATGATTAGTTTTAGCTCTGTCTCTGCTCAAAAAGATATTTTCTTGACTCTACTGTATGATATGCAGTTGCAGATGCCAAACAGTATCCAGGAGAAACTGTTCCTGCTTAATTCCTTGATTGTTGGTGTAAATTGCTTGATCCATGCCTAATCTTGACTATTCCCATGTCTGTGCAGAAATTATATAAGGGAAGAATAATGTGTATATATATACATTGTCAGAGCTGACAGTTCTTCACAAAATATTCTCTTTGGGTGAATTTGACCATATTATTTGACCCTACTTATTTTTAGGAGAGAGTGTCATGACTTAATTGAATTCAATCCTTAGTTATTACTGCCTGAGGTATGGTATTATCAGATGTCTCATGTTTGAAACAGTCTCAGGAGAATCCTAAGTGTACCTAGGTGCATTGCTGTCATTGGACCAACATCAGGCAGATGTACAAACACACTTTTAGGGACTACTGTCTATCAGTAAGCAGGGACACTATCTTCTTCGATCACAGTCTCTACCTCTGAATTGAGAACAAATAAGTAATACACTCGGTAAAACAAAATTACTCTTCCACTTCAGATTTTTTCCTATTAATTTTATGACACATTTTGAGAATTGCAAAAGATGCTGTAAAACTCATTTATAATAATTTAAATTGATATCATGCATGAGGATGTTAGTTTTGGATCACAATAAATATATGATACAAGGAAGAGCTGACAGAAAATAATTTTAATTCTATAAATCATCACAGTACGAAACTCATTTCTGACTAATTCTTCAGTAAACTGTTACCTTATCATCTTTTAATCCCCCTCCTTAGACTGTTTCCTCTGGAACACGCACCTCTCTCCTTTTCTCACGAGTAGTTTGATCTACACTCCAGAAGACATGAAGATACACCTTGCTACACAAATGATGTGCTGAGTAAATCTTGCCTAAATTTTATGCTTATGAATTATAACTCTAATTAGCCCTACATGAGAAAGGGATTGTTGCCATAATAAAAGATTCCTTAATTACGGACACACATAAACCCAGGCATAAAGAAGCCCAGGCTTATTATTCAGCAGACACTTTCCTTGTACATTTGCCATCAGCTCAACCACAGCAGATTATTTTCTTATCTGATGATGCAGCAATCAACCCAGAACTGTCATGACAGCAAAACACACCTTATGTACCCTTGGATAACAGAAGCCAGAGCTGAACAATGAATACACAATATAAATGATTAGATGGATAATTTGAAGACTGAGGGAAGAAGATGAAATTGGAGAACAGCAAAAAAAAAACCTGCAGAGAAAACCTATTAAAAACAGGCCCAGGCCAACATCCAATAGAAAATCTTAACTGTTTTTTTTTGTCTGATATTTCTTCCCTACAAGAACTGTAAGAATCTGAACTACTTAGGATACTGACAGTGCTAAATCTGTGATCGTATCCAGATCACACTACAATTGCTTCACTGGAGCATCATTCCATGAGTATAAATTACAGTAGCATTTCAAACCTATTTGCATATGATTTACCACAGTATCTGCTGCATCTGTGCATTAGGATGATTCAATAAACTTCACAAACAAACTAGATAGGCTCTCCTAAGAAAACCACACAATGCACTTCAGTTAATTAATACCAAAATTCACTACTTAAAAGTCCTTACACCAATTATGAAATTGATTAAATTTCAGGCTGACAGCCTCCCTTTCACAATAAATTTCAATGCACAGTAAATTAGAAGGGTTTCACAGTTGTATGTTCAAAAAGTATTTCAGACTTTCAAGGACAATGGACAACATGGTGATACACTGTGCCAAATACATTTTCTGAGCATATAAGGCTTTTATAAAATCATTGGTATATTGGTATCAATGTCTGGATATGTTACAGTGAATTTCAAATACTATGACAGCCCTTGTGTACTGCTAATAGTCTAGAAGAGCAGGAGGGAGAAGGCAGAATCAAAGCTAAGTTGCCAAACACTACTGAGCTGATAGCTGAAAATTCTAGGAAATAATGTCAACTTTTTGTTGCAGCTAAAAGCAATGACTACTGCAAAGGTGCTCTATTATACAGTTAAGGTCTTCTAAGGTAATTTTACCTCAAATAATTAATAAAAAGAGTGGCTATAGAAAAGGAAGTATGGAAATGAGTATACACCCAGTGTTGCACAAGTGAATTAGGATGAAGACTAAAAAAATGTTTTTTCAACACATGAGGCTGAGTCATCCTCCATGTTACTTGTAATAAAGATAGCTGATAAGTCATTTTCAGGCAGCACTGAAAACCTACAACCAGCTCTGCTTCATGTACATCATCTTGAAGGATAAGGATCTTTAGTTTACAAAGTCTTCAGTGGCCAAAGTCTATATCCAACTAAGAGCTAAATATCTAGTTTAAGGTTATGTGCATCATCTAAGCATCTCTGGTAGCCAACAGAGAGGGAGAACCCTTCTTGCCTCCCTCCCAGCACATAACTGACTTTGTCCTAAGATGGGTGGAATGAATCACCACCTTGTGGTATCTGTAGTGAGTCCCCACTATCTAGATCTGCATTTGTGTAATACCCAGCATAGATTTTAACTCATAACCAACAGTATTGCAGCTGTCCTTCCCTGTAAGACCTGGGTTGAAGGGTTTGGTTTCCTCAGCCTGTGCTGCCCGAGGGCATGAAGGCATGCTTCAGCTAGGCAGAGCAGAGGTCAACGTGCCTGTTTCTCTCCTCTCCTACAATTCCTTCCGTGTAGTTTGTGTAACTAGTAGCTCAGCTGCCTAATCCTAAAAAGATTCATTCACAATCCTTGAACCAGCCACCGATGGTTCATTCTGCTCACCCATAGAAAGCTAGAGACTTTTTCAGGTGGGACTTTTGAACTGCATCGCTTCCACAGCCCTGTTCTTTCTCTCCACCTCAACAAACGTCCCATAAATGCCATGCTTAAGACTCCTGCCAGCTGACATTCAGCTCATGTCCCATGCCATAGCATCAGCATCTCACACACTCGTGGCTCAGTGCTACAGCTTCACCCCATCTATGGACTCTCTGCCACACGGATCCAGGAAAGGCACCGTGGAGACAAGCAGTGCTCAGAGCTGGGCACCAGCTAGGAATGCCCTCCCAGAGGGGACTGTCTGCAAGGCAGAGGCCTCGTACTTCCCTCTCAAGGGATTATGTGACCTGGAGGAGTGATCGATGGAGCCTTCAGAGCTCAGGTAATTCAAGAGCCTGCGTTATTACTGTAGGAAATAATAATAAGTACAAGCAATAAAACACATTAAATGACTAAGTAAACTCTCCCAATGATCATCTATGATAAAGAAAATTATAAAGCAACAATGCACAATCATTATTAACCTATTATTTATCAGACCCTACCAATTTCTGATGTTTTGTACATGGAAACTGGTGGTAAATACCCTGTCATGACAGTGATATGATGTCACCAAGAAAGTGGATTTATTATCTGCAATAAATTATCTTAATCTTCCAAAAACAAATGTAGTAAAAATGTGAATGATGCATACTCACTGGAAGGTTTGCTTTTACAATGAATCCCCTGCAAACAGAAACAAAAATATGACAAAAGTTGAGATAACAGTAAAAATAAATATTGCTTAATGATTGTACACAAATATAAAAATGCATTAAACAAGCAAACATTTGCAGAGATCGCTTTCAAGATTAAAAAAATATTTTCAAATACAGTGAAAATTGCACATCACTACTGCATATGACAGCCTGATACATATGGGGACACAAGATCAGCATTATCCTTATTTTCATGTATTTCTACTGACTTGTAATTGCTATAACACCTACACCACTTCCATCACATACAGAGATCAGTTTACAAGGTACTGCCATTCACGTTGACCAATAGCTTATTTACGGTTTTGTTACAGTGGACTGCTTCATACCAGGGCAAAGAAAGAAACCAAGCAATTTTTCGTTAGAAGATATCTAGAACACTTCTGAATATTATATTTTTAGAAGATCACACTAGGCCAATGGAAGGAAGTATTACAGTAATTGCAAATGAAGTTCAGAAACAAGATTTGCCTTTTTATTTCTGAGAACTGTCTGGCTCAGAAACTGGAAAATAAGATTACTCAGGCACAGTACTTACCATGTTCAAGTGGTAAAGTGTTTTAGTAAGAGGCAAAGTGAACCTGACACTGAGATTTTAACAAGTTTCCAGCTATCTTTCAGACAGACTACATCCATTTTCCCAGTAAAATAAACACTTAACCACACACTAAAATTCTGTGGAGTATAAAAATAACAACACTGACTTTGAATACTGTGCGTGACATTCTAAAGAAAGGCTATTACTTTGCCAGCAAATTCTGTTTTCTGTTGTTCTGGCATTCAAGTTCCTGACATAGCACTTATACCAGTATTTCTTTGTATACAGCATATATGTTCCCCTCTGCTTTCCTTCAAAATCAGCATCTCCTTCTCAGAGACACTTTCGTCACCCACAAGAGGAGCAGGCACCACCTTGTCTCCTCTGCTCTCAAACAGACCAGCAGCTCTCGGTCCTTTTAAAACATTTTAGGATCTTGTCAATAAGCCAAAAATCTGTGAGTTTTAGAGCCAGCAAGTGTCTCTCAGTGGACACAAAGGTGATCCGAGGGATAGAGCACCTCTGCTATGAAGACAGGCTGAGAGAGTTGGGGCTGTTCAGCCTGGAGAAGAGAAGGCTCCAGGGTGATCTTATAGCGGCTTTCCAGTACCTAAAGGGGGCCTAGAGAAAAAAGATGGAGAGGGACTTTTTACAAGGGTGTGTAGTGATAAGACAAGGGGCAATGGATTTAAACTGAAAGAGGGGAGATTTAGATTAGATATAAGGAAGAAATTTTTCACATTAAGGGTGGTGAGGCAGTGGAACATGTTGCCCAGAGAAGTTGTGGCTGCCCCATCCCTGTAAGTGTTCAAGGCCAGGTTAGACGAGGCTTTGGGCAACCTGGTGTAGTGGAGGATTTCCCTACCCATGGCAGGGGGGTTGGAACTAGATGATCTTCAAGGTCCCTTTCAACCCTAACCATTCTATGATTCTATGATTCTATGACATTGAGAAGTTTTCAAGTTGTAGATAAACACAGAGGCTGCGGCCTGGGTAAGCATTAGCACATCATAAAATAACTATTGCTTGGTCTTCCATGAGGCCTTCATCCGCAGGTACATCTGTCCTACTCATAAACACAGCTGTAGAGCAAAATCATATTATTGCTGCAGGTGAGAAATGACATGTTAGCTACCTTGCCACAGCTGCCTAGAGTACCCGAGAAGTGTGTTTTTTGTCCTTCATCGCTGCTTTGAAGTTTTTAGCTAGATAAGCTTGTTTTTAAAGAAAGGCTTTAGAAAACCATTGATTTCTAACCTGTATTAGTTCTCATTCTTTTGTCCTTTTGGCTTTTTTATTTTTAATAATCACTTCTGGAGGTAAGTTCTCATCTTTCACAATTGACAGTTTGTCACTAGGACTTATAAAAGTTCTGATGCACAAAAGGTGGTATTTTAAAACACTTTTTGTAATAAGACAGAGATGGCCATATACTTTCATAGACTGAAGATTATAAAAATTACTTTTGATATTGTTAAAGATATTACTTTGGCTGTTTCTACACAATACTACACCAACACTCAAAGAAGTAGGGCCTGTTGCGATAGGACAAGGGGTAACGGTTTTAAACTAAAAAAGGGTAGATTTAGATTGGACACAAGGAAGACATTTTTTACAATGAGGGTGGTGAGACACTGGAACAGGTTGCCTAGAGAGGTGGTATGTGACCTATCCCTGGAAACATTCAAGGTCAGGTTGGATGGGGCTCTGAGCAATTTGATCTAGTTGCAGGGGCGTTGGACTAGGTGACTTTTAAAGGTCCCTTCCAACCCAAACTATTCCATGATTCTGTAAAGGAAATCAAACTTCTTTACACAACTATTCGAAAACTAGAGTACTTCTATTCCAATGCTTTCATAAATTCCTCAAATCCCCCTGAAGGACTGAAAAATGTAAGTGATGTGACCTCATTTCTGCTGTAATGTGTTCATAGAAATATCTATTATTTATTAAATATTTCTGCCCCCCCCCCCCCCCCCCCCAAAAAAAAAAGCTTCATTGGTAGTTTGCTGATTCTTCCAATGCACATACACCAATAGAAAGAAGACTATAACTTCCTGAATTATTCAGTGCAACACTAAACCAATAAAAATGGAGCATGTCAGCTCATATAAAACTCCACTGGAATTTTAACTGCTGTTTCAAAGCCCTAATTTTGAATTATTTCTAATCAAACTCTGCAGGAGTATGCGGAAGGATAATTTGAATTCAGTCTCTTTACTTGAGGTTCTCCATGGCCTTAGGGAGTGGAATAGAAAAATATACAAAATGACTGCAAAAAATTGAGTAGTGAGTTAAGGAGCTAGCTTTCTTGGTGAGAAGATCTGACTATTGGACCAACTAATTGCTGAGCTACTGCTTACTGGAAGCAATTAATCTCTTATGAGGTTGATTTAATGGATTTAATTTAGCAAATCATTTCCATATTTTTAACTTCCCATTTTGCAGCCAGACTATTGAAAATATTTTGGTTAGGTGGCTTGAGAGAGTTCCCAATTGCCAGTCAAAATTTCTTCGAACATCATCTTTAAACTAACTTCTCTAATTGTTCTTCCAGTCTTCCAACACCTGAAGGGGGCCTACAGGAAAGCTGGAGAGGGACTTTTTGAGAGGGTATATAGTGATAAGACAAGGGCCAATGGCTTTAAACTAAAAGAGGGGAGATTTCAATTAGATATAAGAAAGAAATTTTTCACATCGAGGGTGGTGAAACACTGGAACAGGTTGTTCAGAGAAGTTGTGGATGCCCCATCCCTGCAAGTGTTCAAGGCCAGGTTGGATGAGGCTTTGGGCAACCTGGTGTAGTGGAGGATTTCTCTGCCCATGGCAGGGAGGTTGGAACTAGATGATCTTTGAGGTCCCTTCCAACCCTAACCATTCTATGATTCTATGATTCTACAATTCTATGATTCTTTCTGGTTACAACCATAGTGCAAAAACACATTAGGATCCCATTGAAATAAACAAAAATCTCACAAAACTCAGAGGATTCAGCCTTTTACTTAACGAATGCCAGTGCTTTGGAATCCCTGCTATGACACCTGGAAAATGCAAATCATATGTAAATAAATTATCTTAAGTTTCAAACACGAGAAAAACCCATCCACTTCTGTGAGACTGTGGGATGATGTAGAATTCCTCCTATACCTTCTAGTCTATCCTAATTAAATGTTAGATTTCACTATTGCTCCGATGAATCCTACCATCTGAGTACTTTCCAGCACTATCTTGTGTTTAGCTTCTTATCTTCTCCATGGGAAAAAAGAAACATATCCGTCAATGATTTTTCTTCTGGTAGGAAGATGTTTTGTCATTCTTGGGCACTTGGTTTTGTTCTGAGTGAGAAGTTATTGGGAAGGTTCACATAAATAATCAAACATTTGCACAGACACTTGCCAGTTACAGCAAGCATTTGGTCACAGTTCAATAACCCTTTTTTTAATAAGTATTTCTTTTTATTTTACAATACCAAGGGTGGAGGGGTGGTATTTTCTTTTATAATCATTTTCCAAAATAGTCAAGCGGGACCATTTGTCTCAAAGAAGAACTCAAATAAATTAACCAAGTTCCTCTCCCACTTTCTATATCTTTTGTTTTCAGGAATTTTCAGCGATGAATGCAATAGAAAAACATAACACGCTAAAACCAGAATGGAAATTTTCTTCTCCTTTCACAAATGCTGTGGGTGTCTTTTATGCAAAAATGAGATCCTGAACATGATAGTACATTTCACTGCTATACAGAGAGCATCTTTGATTCATATCTGCTTTGGCAAAGAGCCTAAGCAAAATACACTTACACAATGCACAAACAGTTAGGGGTTTTCCTATTTCTCTAGGGGTTTCCCCATTTGTGGTATTACTCAACTGTAGCTAGAGGTTATCTGAATAGACACCACCAACGTGCAGCACTCTGAATAGAAGGTGTGGTGCCAACTTTTTAGCTAGCACAGCAAATTCTCAATCTAAGCCAATTGTAATATCACACTGTTTTGTTTAAAGACTGTAGAGAAGAATGTGAGATCGGCAAAGGAAGACTTGGATTTGGGGGCACAGAGAGTATTTTCATGAATTAAAACTGCCAAGGAAAAGAAATAAAGATTAGACCTGCTTCCTATTTCTTCTCATATCTCCAGGCACTAAATCAAGCACAGAAGTGCGGAAACTCTTCCCTGAATGTTCTATCAGGCAGGAAAGAGTCTGAGGTAAATTCAATTTCACGATCTACCTTTTAATCTGTTATCTCTGTTGTAGCTCATTCATAGACTAGTTGGTGGCAGCTCTTCCACAATTTCATAAGGAATAGTAATATGCCTGAAAATGCCTTAAAAAGCATTCTTTAATTGGGACCAGGTTGTCAGACATTTAACATTCATTCATTAAGGTGCCTGCATTAAAGTCAGCGAATGTACAGTGAACAGTTTTTCCCCC